TCAGTGACCAACAAATAAACTTATCAATCAATCAATGTAAGGGTGAAACTATTTTAGCCTTTGATGAAACTCCACGCTTCCCTCAAATCGCATTTCATAACAAGCAGACGGGTTTTTTTTTAAATCCCGTGAGTGGTGTATTAATTTATTTGAAACATTTGCGCAATTAATCATTCGTCCATATAATTTATAACGACCATCAATAAAATTTTTGATATATCACAATTGCAGTGATTTACCTAATTTACGATTTCGAGATCTACGGACTTGTGAGATATTACATTTTAATGTTTTTATAATTTTTTTCCTTCGTTTTATTTATTACGAAACTTTATGAGCCCATTTAGTAAACAAGCTAAGCAGAAAACTCGAACAAATGTATTATATGCTTTTCGTGTCGTTACGGTTACTTTTTGATAAAGCAAAAAATAAGATTTGGGATTTAACCCAAACAGCTTTCGCTTGTTAACAAGCAAGCATCTCTGGTAAATAATGCATGACAGCTCAGGTTAGGGTAGCGCACATATTTATTATTTAAAGTAATGTGGGGCGCCTTCGAAGACACATTGTTAGTCATGTGCAGAATTCGTTATTGATTGAAGAGCGTCCAGTGTGAAGTATGTTAAATGGATGTAAATCAAAACCACCTATTTCCATTTTGGTATGGAGTCACAAAAGTTTTAATTGATTTAATGTATCGAGTCCGAGTGACGGATGATGTGAATACGAATACATTTTTGCATATTTCCTTGCCAAGAAAGTAAACACATTGACAACTACCTGCCAAATGCATCATCGAAAAGCTTTTCAATCTCAAATTTCGCTGAGTATTTCGAATGGAAGTAATTTGGCTCAAATAGAGGCAAAACAAACAAGTTGATCCATTATATTATTTCCATAGGGTAGTATTACTCGTTTTAAAAAGTGTCTAATTAATGGAGTACATATTCAGAATGTACCTATGTAAAAAGGGGCTTTCGTGCCAAGTTTACCTACATTATTCGCAATTATAAGAATTAAAAATTTCAAAAGCACGGAGATATATATCGCGAATAAACCCAACGCTCGTTACTGTATCGCCTGAAGCTTTCCGCTTCGGAAGACTGAAAATTCAATAAAAAAAAATGGATGTCTAGTTTATAGAGATGTGTTACCTTTGGAATCAGATGCTTGAATCGTGAATTTGTTGAATGCTCGTATTTGAGGGAATATGTTACTCAAGCTAAAAGATGGGGTATTGGGAACACCCCTCCAGCGTAACAGATCGAGTTTTGACCATACACTAAATTACACGTTTACGATATGGTTTTCGTATGAACTGGGAAGAGCATCTTTCGGCAATGCCAGAAAAACGGCAAAGGAAATTTGGAAATTGAATAAGTGCCCTGATCCACTCCGCACCCACTACTTTAAAATAACCAGAAGAAAAGGAATAATTTCCTATGGGGGTCTAGGTGGAAGAGTTCGAAGCCAACTTCATCCGTGTCAAATAAATGAGGCGTTTGCGTTATGAACGGATGAAGTTGTCGAGCTGTTCACGACTGGAAACTGAAAACAGAACTTATAGAGATGACCGGACAGGAAATCACTGTATGCATTGAATAAATAAAAGGGGTGAGTTTGTATGGATGTCTGCTGTAAATCCTTACACAGTGCTTGACTTTTTTAATTACTCAAAAAAGTTGTTAAAAACAATTCTCTGGAAGGTAAATCAGAGCGCATTTACGTCTGTGATGAGAGAAATCCAGTAAAAGGACATAATTATATTGAAATTACTGCCCCACAAGACCAAATGCTTCTATGTTTCTCCTAATTTTTCCTTCTGGATTACTTTTCCGTTATTAAATATCTACTACTACTACTACGTCAACATCCGTTGTGAAATATCTACGCCGAATTGACGTACTTACATGAAAGTTCCTTACACTTTCCTTATTGTTCCTGTTTAACTGCAAGTATTACCGAATATTTTTGATTTTACTTACTTGTGTCGCTACGAAGAATATATCTTCCGAGACCCGATTTTATCTACGTTTTAATTACATTTCATATCCATAATATTAATCTGTTTACATATTTAGCGAATTGCTTTTGATTTGTAAATTCGTTTTTGAAATTACGAGACCAATATCTACGATTTTTAGTTACGTTGTTTGTGTCACTCCGAATAATTTGTTCGTTTTAGTTTATTTACATTTTGAATCAATTTGATTACATTTGTTGTGCAGAAATTTAGTTATTTGTGCATCGTAAATGGGTTTTTTCTAAGTTAACATCACGTCTTTGCCTATTTTACCGTTTTGTACGGACGATTTGTTGTCCATCAAAATTTTGCTTTTGTTTGGTTAACGTAAATTGAATTATTGATTCTTATTCAGTATTAATTACGGTTTTGGTATTCGATTTACCCTAGTGGCAAACGTTAGACATTGGTACCCCAATATTTATGTGCCGCGCTATTCACTATCCGTCTTGTTTGTGTTTGTATTTGTATCTGATACAGATAAAGCAGCAAAGCGCCCTTCTGACCTCAAAGGGCCATTCAAAGGTAATTTTTATTTTCGACGACATATTGGTTTGCGATACAATCGAATTGTAATTAACTAATTACAACATTCTTTTGATGGTCATCTAACCATTATAGCTCCGTTATTTTCTGCGGAAGCCTGTTCTGATTTGGAAAGTTTTCCAGACTACGAGTTGATCGATCCCCTTTTTGCTAAAAAAAATTCCGGCCGGTTATTATTAGTACATGTCATTTTTGCTTCGTTTTGGCTAATACAGAAGAACCCAATTATTCACCCTGACCCACATCTACTTTACCTGAGTTTACCGTGTGCTTATCTACTTGTAATTTTGTTACGTTTGCTCAAAGTGAACGTATAACATATCGCGAGAGTACCGGACATTTATCGCATATATCCTCAAGTCAAACGGTTGAAGTACTTTAACCGTTTTCAGACCACTCTGTTCTGAAAAATCAGACTCTTTTAAAAATCGGTTATTATGTCGTGGATTTTTGTTTTTATTTTCTACATGCCAAAACCTATTAAAAGCTGTGGTTCCTCGTCGATTTTGTTCGACTTTCGAGGCAAGACTGTACGTTTGGTCTTATCGTTAATATACTTTTTTTTGTTTGCTCCAGGTAAGGTTCTAAGGTGGACTTTTGAGGCAATGCCGTACTATTTCTTAAACCAAGTTTCGTGTTCGTTTCCACATGTCAAATGTCTATGTTTTTAGCCAACTTTCGAAGCAAAGATTATATACAGGGCGAGTCAACGACTGCGCGAAGTCACATGAACATATAGGCCTAAAATTACAAAATCTAACATTCATATATCTCCGTTATCATCTTTTCGAAGTTTTTAACTGGAGGCGGTTGGGAATCGTAGTGGTAGCCAAAATAATTCTTGCAACTTTAGCCCTGTGCTACGGGTGCAATCCCCCACAAATTATGAAATGAGATGAGGGGCCATACGAATTTACAAGGAATTTTAATTATTCTTACACAATCGTTTAATTTTTTTACATCGATCGATTGAATGGCAACACTTATTAATCCCGCCTAGAGCTTTGTGATAGTTATATTGAAAAAAATAATCTCAATCGAAGTATTGACCAGTAATTCTAAATGGACTGTTTGCATTTTTTTTCAAATCAAAATCACAATTTATAGTGTCTATTAAATTCAGTCAAAACGATTTGTGTCAAATCGAAAAGGGAAAAGACATGAAATACTTTTTTTTACATAGTGATGAAATTATTGGACTTTTTTTAACGAAAAATTGTATGGAAAGTGGTACTTTTTTCACGATTTTTACTATGCGTTTCCATGGAGTTTAGTCCTGCCTACGAACAATAGTCCAATTTTTGAGTGACAGTAAATCGCGAATGTCAATCAAATTATTCAATTGTGGGGTATTATAGATCACTATGCAAAAAAATTTCGTGTACAACACGTGTTGAAAGTGTCTTCTTTCCATGAATTCCATGCAAATTCATGAAAAAAAGTATCACTTTCAAAACTAGTTGTACAAATAACTATTTTTATCGGTTTTTTCGATAGCCCTTTCTGGTATAGAACCAAATTGTCAATTGCACTTCGTTTTTGTGTTCTAACGGTTATTTTATTCTTTATTAGAAAATGCACTTGACACAATTTTGGCCGAATTACTCTCAATTTGCCTAATTTTCTTCTTTTTCCAGAATAGCACCCATGTGTCTCTCCCCTTTGCAAATTACAAAACATAATTTAGACGAAATAAATTGGGTCGAATAATTTTTTTAATGGCAATGGTGGAGCTGATATGGTATACTTACTAACTTTCAAGAAAAAACCTCAATTTTTATGGAGAGTAGTTTGCGATTAGTCTTCCGGTTCCGAAGGATTTAGGCGATAAGCTTCAACCCTCGATTTTGTTTAGATTTGGGCATACCTACCGACTACCGTACCATCAAACAATATGCCAAATTTTTAAATTAGCTAAAAATAACATGTATTTAAGATATTCGCCTAGATCTACGGCCTTTTATGCACTCAATAAGTATATGCGAGCCGCATTAAATCAAACTAAGAAAAAGTATTTCGCGTTGCGAAGCAAAATACCTCGCAAAATACAGAAGAAAATTTTATTGGCGCATTTAAACGTAAACTCGAGTTTGTTGATCTTCATTTCGTTTTGTTCGTTTACACGAAAAAAGGTATTGGCATTTTTACGCCTCGAGGTTTTATTATCCATAAAATAACGTTAACAATATTTGTTTTAAGCCATCCGACGTGCGGCATAAAAACGGAAACTGAGGGATATTAACAGGTTTCTAAAACTTTTTCTATTTGTAATGAAACTGTAATGCTTTTCACGTTGAATCCCATTTTGTAATTAAACGAACAAATAGTGGGGAAATCGTAAGGGTGTTTAATTTGCGTCGCATGGAAAGATGTTTTAATGAAAATTGTGTGCCTTGAGCTGAGGTTGGAGAAGTGAAACGATTACTTGTGGTATTGCTTTTTAATTGTAATTAAAATATGAACATTACAATACATAAATAATAAATAACTTGGAATATGTATGGATGAACCAAATCAATTTCCATTTATTCCATTTGACCCTATATGAGGTTTATTGGAAAACCTATATATTTAATGGCCATAATACTAAAATCAATACGCTCTCAAAAACGGAGCATTCTACATCGCTTCATAACTAAAGCTCTTCTACATACATTTTCTGCATTAGCGTATGACTTGTCACATTTCAAATGAGGTGCTCTTATAAAAATGATAAAAAGAAAACACATTCACCAATATATTTTTACCATTAGTCTTGACTAAATCGAAATGATTTCTGATTGAAAAATTGAATAGAAAAGCACAAAAGGTACACAAAAGTCGATTTGTATCACCGGAGGCAGTACTTCAGAAGGTCACTTTGCTAAATTGTAGCGCACTAATCATATAATAACACTGGTCGCGTCTTTATTTTTCACATCTAAAAGGGTAGTAGTTGACGCGCTCGGCCGGTGAGTCTTGGACACCACTAGCGGCGTTTCGAACGGTTTGCACAAGGTGAGCACTGTGTAAACGACGCAGGCAATTCCTAAAATAAGCCCAGCTAAAACGTCCCACCAGTGATGCCTGTAATCCGTAATTCTTGTAGAGCAGCATACGACACTCCAGAGCAGAATGCAAACGATAATAAAAGGTTTTATCACAAGTCGCAACTGATGCGATGGCAGGCGTAAATGAATGTAGAACTGAAATGAACTTGATAGTTTGCAGGTAACGGAAGAGAGCGTTATACTTACGGCACAGAATAACGACGTGTAAACAGAAACGGACGCGTGTCCCGACGGAAAGGATCTCGACGAGTCCGTTATCACATAATTGCTGTAAAATGAATTCGTACATTTATAATCCGTAACGAATTCGCCCGGCGAACAGGTATGTCCGACATCTGGTAGGCAAGTGTCGAAGAAATGCGGTCGATGTTCTCCAATGAGCACTTTTCCAACTTGAGTGAGCACCAAGTTCACCGTTAACCCAATCATGAAGTCTCGGAACCAGTTCCATATCTCCAACCCCCATCTTTTGCTAAAGTTCTTCTCCCTGTACAATTCGACAGCGGCGATGATCAGAAGAGGTCCGGCGATGCTTCCGCCCAAAATCGCGTGGAGCGTTACGCTGTCGCCCTTGTACGGATGCGATATGGAGGGATCTCTGCAGTAAAAGCCCAGCTTTGCCGTAGGAGTCGGCCCGTACTCCAAATATACGAGCGATGCGAAAACTGAAACAAAATTACTGACTATACTTGAAGAGTACGACTGCTGACTTACAAGCACCAAAATGAAGACCGCGTGACATACTAGTCTTCACAGGACGTAATCATTGACTGAAAATTGTAAGTTCTTTCGTCATTGTGAGCGTGATGATTTGACAGTATGCAAAAGCGCGGTAATGGCAGATTCTACTTTTCGTTTCGACATTTACAGTTTACCAATTACTGTAGAAATTAAAGAAACTGGGCTTTTCCCTAATTAGCTGAAATGTAAATGAAATGTGTCAAAAAACGGAAAGTACAATTAGAAAGCAAGACAGTTGCCCAATTCACCCACAATACTCTCTGCATAACGGCAAAATAATGCAACGCAACGCAACCGTCGCCGTCGGTGTTACCCAATTAAACTTCAATGGAAAACAATAAAAAATGGGAGCGGTCTGCAGAAGCAAGATGTTACTAATCGCTATTCATTTAATTACACTTCGGTAAATATTGTGGCGATCTCTTGCCGCTTTGTAGATATTAATAATCAAGGGAGAAATAGAGGAAAAACAACCGCCATGTTTGCAGACGAGCTTTGATCTTTACTCTCAAAGAGATTGTGATATATAATCAGTCTTTGATTGGATTCCTAAAGTAAAGAACAACTTACTGAAGGAAAACTTCATTTCGATCAATATTTCCTGGGGCGGAAATCAAAGCGACACGATAAAAACGACAGCTGGATGTTATAACAAGCAAAGCAAAAACAAAAGTATTGCATAATTTAATTAAAATAATGAATGTTTTTCGCGTTTTTATAACAAAGCCCAATGCATTCGGTTTTGATGCTAATTAAGGGCAAATGTGCTAATTCCTTAATAGTTTACAAGATTTAGTTCGACGACTTTTTCCGATCGTGTATAATAGGAAAATTGAGGGAAACGTGTACATTGGAAATTTCAATGAAAAACCAGCGGCGAATTTATCACAAAAGATAACGATAATGTGAAAATTTCCCTCATTAGAATTAGTATTAGTTGAACATTTCGTTAATTTTTATTACAATCTCACTCATCTAAGCCAGACAAATAATAAAGAAAACTTTGTTTCTTCGTCTTCTGTGTGGAGTGCTAATTTGAAAATCCCTAACCAAATATCTAAGAGTGTGGCAGGAAAAGTGAAAATCCACTCGAATACCGCCAATAGTGTTATATACCTCGTGTTATACCATATGTGGAAAAGTAAAGAATTTACCACTGAGAGGGGCTTTTATGATGGCAGAAATATTAACAGACAGAATGCAATAATTAGGCTGAACTCAAATAACACCATGAACCTCGCCATGAACAGAAGAAACTTGGCATACAGAAGAATTATCAAAGTCCTCGTGTAAGATCGAAGGGACTTTAGCGCATTTTTATGTGACAGATCAGTATTCTATGAGCCAGTTTGGACTCCGCCATCAATAAGACCTTCTCGCTCGGGGCTACCACATTCCTTTTGTCGGTACCCATTTCCGACGTCTAGTTCACCCGCACGTGCTTGAAGTTTTGACTCCACTATCAGTAAGATCTTGTCGGGGACTACTACATTCCTTTTGTCGGTACTCACTTCTGATGTCCCATTCACCCGTAATTCGCTTTTGGTGGATTTCGCTAAAACCCTCCCCAAGATAGTCCTCCATTTTTGGGACACTTTATATCTCGAGCTAATTGGCTATAATTTTTCTGGATCCTACATCCACGAGGTTTACTTAAATTTATTAGACCGTGCGAAACCTTCCGATGATATTCTTTAAAATCACTAATTTTTAGAACGTTATTCTTACAATTTTTCAGATTTTTCAGTTTCTTAAAATTCGTCCTATTTTTAATTGTTATAAATCTTCAAATTCAAAATTTTGTTGTTTCAAATTATTCAAATTGTATATTATGGATCAAGAAAGGACGATATTCACTGTCATCCAGGAAAGAATCCTATTTCGATCCTTCAAGTTGTTCGAATGGATTCGGATTCTTGACATTAGCTAATTGGATTTTTCCGAATTTTCATTTTATCCTTTTTCCCCCCATTCTTGTATTTCAGATGCTTTAAATTATAGATATACCAAATATACTTGGGAATTTTTCAAAATCAATTCGTCGTGGGTCCTTCGGATATCGAACATTTTTCAAATTAGTCCAAATTCCTGTGATTTTTCACGTTCTTTATTAGTTTGTGAAAAGGTTTCTAGTAAAACAGATTATTTCTAGGAAAGATTAAAGATTTTTAAAAGGATTTCAATAGAGCTTTATATATGATTTCAAAGAAGAGTAAAAAAAATTATCCAACAAAATTTCCAGGAAGGATATTTCCAAAGAGATTTCTAAAAAGAACTTATGTTTGTGATCCAAAGGACCAAAAGTCTTAAAATTTGCGAATCTTCTTTAACTTTCTCTTACCACCCATAACACAGGAAGACTTGCAGCCTAGGTATCCATTCTCTGATTTCGAAAAAATATTTCCAAAAGTCCCACCACAAGATGTTGCTCCTCTAAACAGGGGTGCAAAAAATTTCGACCTTGATAAATCGAAAACAACAACAGAATTCCAGGTGGAATTTTTTTCGAAGTTTGATTCTTGGTTATTCCCCTGTTCAACAACCCCCAGATATGTATCTCCCGATTTCGTCGAGATCAGATTTTTTCGCATTCCCGTTTAGGATCGTTTTGGGGTTGAAAAAAATTAAAGAAAAACGCTTTTTTTGAAGGGTTAATTGCCAAATTACCCTTCTGGACCTGCTGTTTATTTGGAAAGAATCCTGTTAGGACCCTTCTACATGCCACAGTTACTGGTTACATAACATCAAAAACACTATTACGATAATATTAACTTGCTAAATATGCCCATTTTTGATAACTTTTGATAACTTATGGTATTCAACAAGATGGTGGGACATGTCATACAAGTCAAACAACAATCCCTTTATTGCGCACAACATTTTGGTAAACGTCGCGGTGAATTGGCCACTAAAATCATGTGATCCTGACATCATTGGATTACTACCATGAAAGATGAAGTTTATAAGCATAATTTAACAACAATTTGACACTTTAAAGCCAACATCTAACGCGTAATTCGTGCAAGTGAGCCACAATCGTGGCAAAACGTGACAAATTTTATCCAGAAGATCGAGGCATGTATATTATATAGGTATACGTGACCATGGTGGACATTGCCCTGACAATGTATTTAGCGCATTTTTTTAAAGACGTAACATTTCTTAAGATGCTGTTTTTTAAAGTAAAACGTGCATAACTTTTACATGCGACAACTGATTGATCTCAGATTTTGCATAAACATAACCAAGCATACCTTTAGTGGTGCTAGTAAAACTTTTGAAAATGGTTCTACCCTTTTTGGTATTTTAATGAAAGGTCTTATCGAAATGAATTGGTTTGTAGAAAATATAACTTTCCCAAGCAATTCTTTTCGAGCTCAGTGACAGGACGGGACGGAACGGGGACGGGCACGGAGAGGGGGGGGGGGGTGATTTTATCTTACATGGTATTCTAATTAAAGGTCTCACCAAAAGGAATCACCTACCGGCTTTTTGATTCGTTAGCAAAAGGGGAGGTTTGGGGGCCGCAACTGGTAGGTACTCTAATAATACTCTAAATATCTCAAAGAATAGCATTAATTTCTACGAACTCTAGTCCTCCTCCTCGGCCCGTTATCGTCATCGTGTATAATTACACTTATATCTCAAGAACCGATTGTTGGAGATTTGTGTACTCACAAAGGGAAGTTAGGATGTTACACAAGCGAATATCTCGAAGACGGTTTGTCGGAGGAAAATACTCTCAAAGGCAAAATGAATCGTCTGGATGAAACATTGGAGAAGTCGAAGCAAATATTTTGAAAACGAAGTGTCGGAAGATGGTACTCATAAAGGGCAAGTAGAACGACAGGATGAAACATATCTATTGGTGATGTCAAAACCTTCAGTGCAAATATCTGCAGAACAGAGGTTCTCGAAGGGCGGAAAAATCATCTAGACGAGACATATCTAATGGCGATGTAAAATCTAATGTGAATATCTCGACAATGTTGAAGGAAGGTATACCTCGAGGCATACCACTATACCTACAAGGCAAAATGCAAAATTTTGGAGAATATCTCTAAGGTCTCGATTCTTTTTGCATGTTATAGTGTAGATCTTTAATGTATATACCAGGCGGCCTTTAAATATTGGTGTGTAAAGAGCCCTCTTCAGAATAATCATCTACCAAGAAAGGAAACATCGATAAATATAGCATGCTACTACCTCATTACTCAACCATTTATTCAGATATTTCGGTTTTAAAAAAATGCGCTTTATCTGTACAACAGTTGTGTACAATTATACTTGTTTATTAAGCGGCAGAGCAAAGCGATGTAAGCTTTATACGAGTAGGAGAGTCGATGGTGTCCGTCTGTCCGTGAACACGATAACTATCAAACGCTTGGACCGATTTGGTTCAAACTTTGCACTGTTGACCTATATGCCACAAATAATAAGCCTATTGAAAATGTGTCAAATCCAATGACCCCGTGGGGTCACGATTCTCTGTCCCTGCCAAACGCTTGGACCTATTCGGTTCAAACTTTGCACAGTTGACATATATACCACATGTAACAAGCCAATTGAAAATGGGTCAAATCCAATGACTCCGTGGGGTCACACCGAGGTGCTCTGCCGCTTTTTTAAACGCTCTTTATGGGTTTATTCTTACATTGTACAATTTCTACATATTTCAATAAAAATTTCATCTAAAAATCAAAAAAGAAGTCGCTAATGAATACCCTCGAGCTGGTTTGATCCTCGTTTTGATCAAAATTTTCAGCAAACAGCAAAAGGTTTTAAAATGCGAAATAGCCCACCTCAATTTATGTTACAAAAGTGAGTATCATTAACAAATATGTAATATAAAACCTTGTTCCAATAAATTTTGTCGACGTCCTGAGATGTGCAGTTAATGTATTTAATGGCAGTTAGTATCTTTTAATGCAGTTAATGTTTAATGTGGTGCATCCAATTTTCTTTGGTGGTTTTCCCCTAGGACTAAAATGTAAAAAGAAACATCACATGCCTAAAAGTAACTAAATGTTTACTAAATTTTTGAATTTGAGTAAATTTTACACTGTAGCCATCAAATTGAATTTCGGATGATTCTAAAGGGAAATCGAAACCCCATTCAAGAAAACATTGACTGGTACACGGTACGAAGTTCACCAGAAAAGTGTGACGCGAGGCGGTGCAGCCACCGAAACCGAACGTTTGTCTCATCCAAGAAAACGAGATTTCTCAAAGGCGGTACGAAGTTCGAGGGCTCTCCTACAGTAATATATAGAAAAATGATCCCAAATTACATAAAACCTTAGTCCTTCAACTTCCAGCGAAATCAACGAACCGAATCTTTACATCACCAATTACGTACAGATTACACTACCTTCAGAATTGGGCCTGTTTAGAAATCTGAAGGCGAAATTGAAGCTAATGGGCTCATATAATTTAAAACTACGTAGCGAATTCGAGAACAATACATCGTTATAAAAGTCATGATAAATTATACACAATGCAGATGATTACGAATCAAATTAGAAATAATTTCGGTCAATTGTTTCAATTGGTTGGTTTTTGGGAGAGAGGAAGAGAAATTTCAGTACTGGAAGCAGCCTACTCTCCAAAAACGGGAGTGAAACAAATATCCTGATTATTTATAATTTAGCCGATTAGATAGCGTGTTGTTAATAACACGCCACAACTAAAGTTAGTAACGCAAAGGATATCGCGAAACCTTTCTAACCCGAATTTGTAGAACTACCCCTTCTATTTGTATTAAACCTTTCAGTGGATCAATAAGCGCGCTAAATTTTTGGCGATGCCCAAATCACTGTAGCTTATCGTGTCGCTCTAATTAAACTAGTAATTTATAAATCAAGTGTGATTACTACATTTAAGTAGGTAAGCGCGGTCATGGTAGATGCGCACTTTTGTCGTCTAACAAATGATGACGTAACTGAATTGAATACGAGCGAATTTCATGAATCATGACCGTGTAATTGATTTATTGTACAAGGTAAAAGTAAAAGTCGACTTACCTATTAGAACAATAGACACATTTGCTACTGTCACTGGACTTATTCGTAGACGTCGCTTTCGTTTCGGTGTCGTGGAGTTCCTATCGTGCTCGGAAACGGTCAGACAAATCGATTCTGCTGGAGGCCGTCCAGGTAGCGCTGTGTTAGCCATCAACTTATTTTCCTACGAAAAGGAGAAATTTAAAATTTCCATACTTCCTTTACGAGCGTCAGTCGAAAACAAAAGCCCCAGTAGTGTTTTAACACTGTTTCTCTTTTCTACAGAAGTCATTGTGAATATTAAGTAAATGTCTAGACAGATGACATTTTTAGGTACGCTTAATGGCATTAAACTTACCCGGAAACAACCACAACAGCTGCTAACCACCTCATCGCTCAAACGAAAAGGCCGTGCTCACAGAGTACATTTTTCAGAATTGAGTGAACGTGACACAGTATGATGATTAAGATGTTCGGGTTTAATAACAATAATGTAGAAATGTAGATCGAGTTTCGCAATACCATTTGGAACGAGAGGGGTTGTTGCTTTTGGGAAATTTTCATGAATACAGTGGCGAGTCTAAAATAGGTCCATCGATTTCAACCACTTTAGATGTTCGAAAATAAGCCAATGAAGTCTAAGTGCATTACATGTGTTCCCAGTATTTACAATTACAAAGTGTTTGTAATTAAACCGTTTAAAGGCGCTGAATTTGTTTATATTATTTGATGTAACCCTGTCGCTTTTATATGGCATCTATGCTAGGGTACAATGACATTTTAGTTAACGTAAACACTGAGATCGAGATCTTACAAGGTTTTCCTAATTTAATTTGCGTTAATCCCATTGAAATTTTCATCAAAAATACTTTGAATTGAGAGTGAGCTGTCCAAAACGTGCACACATTAGGTACCTAACTCATAAAATCTACCGGTGACCCACGTCGCAACCCAACGAACTCCATTGTTCACAAAACGTGCCTAGTTTAACTTAAATAACCAGCAAATTTGGATGTTGTATTAAACGTTTATGTACACATTTGCTTCTTTGGAAGCGAAGAATGTGATGTGATTTAATATTAAATAAATTAATGCAGTTTAGGAATACATAATTGAGATTAGCACAGAGAGAAGGATTATGAAAGCGAAACACAGTACATTTCAATGAAAGTAAAATTGGCGGCATATGTTGCAGAAATTAGTTATAACGGGTGTCCCAAAATACACGCAAGAAGTAATTTTAGTAGCAAACATGTTTTTTTCTGATCGCCAAAAAGGGAGTGGGTTCATGCAGTAGCTGAATTATGTTGCGGGCCGTATGGCATGTGGCCTCGTCCTATTGAAACCACAGGTCATCCACTTCCATATCTCGCAATTTATCTACCAAAAACTGGACTATCACGTCGCGACAGCGAGCACTTCTAACCGTTATTGCTTGACTATCCGATAATTATTCCAGGCCAAACAGACAACCTGTAGATTCAATTTTGTTTCAAAAATGACTCGTGGATTCTCTGAAGTCTGAACCCCAAGTACGACAGTTTTGACGATTTACGAAGTCATATCAAAATGAGAATGCGCTTTATTGCTAAAAATAATTTTGTTCGAAAAATCAGCTTCCATAAGGATTATGTTTAATTTCTGTAAAATATATCCCGCTTAAGAGCAGAATAAGGGGTACTTACAGGCAGTAAAGCTGGATCGTGCCCCCAGAGATTGTTCGGCACTAAAAAGAGTAAGAAAAACTTCAAAGGGAGGTCGTTAATTTAATCCCCAAAAAATGCGGGCGGCTCACAAAAACATAAATTTTTGGTAGGGTGGAATTAAAATTCCGCCCATCATAAAAGCTCTTTAATGATCTTACTCTTAATTAAAGTTTAATAAACACCTCCAAAGGTTCGATCAGTGAAGGTTCTTAAATATTAAAAAAAACCATAAATACGCTAAACACTTACAGGCTACTAGAAGCTTGGAAAAGGCTCTCAAGGGACCTATACAAGTCTAAAAGGCTGTCTTTTCAATACTTCAAAGACATTAATAATTGTTAGACTCTACCACATAGCATTCGATATTTTATGTACCTATATACATTTTAAATCCATAATGTACAGGTAATATCCTGTCCATCTTATGTATATATATACTATGTATATTCACTATAGACATATGTATTTTATGTCCAGTATGGATATTCTACAAATATACATTTTGGATGTGATATGGATGTTTAGGCACACACGTTGTATGCATCTGTTATGTATAAATCTTATACCTCCTCACGAGGATCTTCTATGTATATACATGGGATTATATGGCATGTATATACGTTTTGGATTAGATACATGCGTTTTCTGTATTACCGACGTTACAAACGTTAGCGTCTCATTTTCTATGAATTACGGCAATGAAGATAGGTGCTATTGCAAATTCAGTTTCATTTTGTTGTTAATTTTGGCTTACAATGAATAATTAGTTAAATTTTTAATTACCTATTATTTAAAAACAAATTATAATAAAAATTTGATTGGGAATTGTTTTAGTCGCCACATTAACATGTGCCTTAGTGACTGCTGACTGGGTCCTTGTTTATTCCTAATTTTACTTAGTTTTCGTAAATATTACGACGAAAATTGAGTACATACTGAGAAGCACTGCCACCTGCTCAATTAAAAATTTAAGTCGCCGCTCTACCAGCACCATCTTAGAACCATTGCAGAATATCCTAAATATATTCAATTATAGTTTAAGATTGATAAATCGGAGTAAAATGTTTAGTGCGCTGACTAAGTTTGTATTGAAATAACTACTCAACCGATTTGTATCAAATAAATCGCTTTTTAGTAATCAACTATTTCGTGTGTAATTTCAACTGTGAAAAATATAACAAAATTTGAACACGAATGCGCGCTTTTTCAATGAAATTTTACGGTACAAGGATATCGCAAAATTTTTGTAGGTACCAATAAAAGAAAATTAAAATGATATTATGACTCCAGAAATTGATATATTGTGAGGGAACGAGTTTGTAGAACAGCCGTAGCGGAGCAGAGGGAGGGGGGTAGTTGTACACGGTACATGTTACGCTCGATGATTTTTACAAAACGGTACCTGTGTTAAAGTAAGTAAACAAGTGAGGAATACATGCATTGTTTGCTCATCTTCTTCAAAACCTTCATCGTCATCAAAGTCATTACCATAATGGCCATTCGCAGTTATTACAAAACGTTCTACTTACTGAGCCATTGATTAAATTCTCCTATTCTCAAATGCTTTATTTTTCGTTATGGTAATCCGCTGAACCCGTCTTTTTTTCCTACATCCTGCTAAAAAACCGTCTTTGTTTCCGTTTATTTTTTCAATGATCCCTCGATATTGGGCACAGTTAGCTCGATTGTCTTGATGGGTCCAAATTTCTTTGGATGGTTCGCGCCACATGTTTCGTCAGAAAAAATATATTCCAACCAATTTCTCTACATCTTTTAACGGCGTACAAACACTATGTTCTTTTTTATGTTTTGCGTTCACTTTGATTTTTTTATGTTTTGGATCTTTGGAATATAATTCATTTTCTTTATTAAGCGGCAGAGCAAAGCGATGAAAGCTTTATAGGGGAGTCGATGGTGTCCGTCTGTCCGTGAACACGATAACTGTCTAACGCTTGGACCGATTTAGTTCAAACTTTGCACTGTTAACAACATATACACCACATGTAACAAGCCAATTGAAAATGGTTCAAATCCAATGGCTCCGTGGGATCACACCGAGGTGCTCTGGCGCTTTTTTAAACGCTCTTTATGGGTTTATTAATTTTTTAATGTAGTTAATCGTTTAGTTAGGGTCAGGTTGGGTATTTCCTCGTCTTACAAAAATTTATCAAAATCCTCGTGTGATATCGAATGGACTTCTCCGCATTTTTGTGTGGCAGATTAGTATTCTATTCGCTAATTTTGACTTCACGATCAACAAGATCTTGTAGGAGGCTACCGCATTTCCTTTGTCGGTACCCGCTTCTGACGCCCCCGCAGTTATATAAAGGCGCCTTTTTGATGGATTTCGCTAAAACCCTCTACAAAAAAGTATTGAATTTTTGGGGCACTTTTCAAGATCGAGCTTCAAGAAACTTTAAACCGCGTTTCAAACCTCACAGCGGTCGGTAACTTTTGGGCACCTCGAAGCGCCTTGAAAGAGGGGGCTAATTTCGCCCCTAGGAAAAAAACAAATTCCATCACGCAGGAGTTGTGCGCGTTTACAAGATCTCTCCGACGGTACTAGTTTGAAAACAATGGTAGAAGACAATAGGAAACAACTGAAAAATCACCATGCGCGCGATGATGGCGCCCAGAAGTCGCCGACTCCATATCACGTAGTCTCCTCCCTAAATTGTCAGTTACACGGCTTCGGTAGGTAGGTACACGTACAATCCTTGATTTTCTACAAGCGTTCTACTACGAGCCTTCATTAGCTGCCAGCCGTTTTGTTTTTCTACAATAGCTTCAGCAAGAGATGTGCCACCTAATAACTAGAATGTATGAAATTTCGTTGAAAAATAAGCTACCTATGGACATGAAGTAAAGTTGATCATTGCGAAAAATCACGAGATTAATCGTAATTTTTCTAAAGAAAATTCGATACCGTAAATGTCCTAGTAGTAAAAAAATTGAAATATAATGTATTACAACAACAAGTTATTAAAGGATTTTGAGATTTTAAGTTAAAAAACTGAGCAGACTGGACTTGTTACTGCGGTAGTAGTTTAATTGTTCAACTTAACACTTCTCTGATATTTGGCAAATTCAAATTACTATATCTCGGATGCTATCAATTGTTTAATAATGTTTTTAAGTAAAAAGATTTAAAAACATGTTTTATATTCACATATATTGTGTTACGGAATTTTTACTGAGGAAGAGATTTAAAGAACTGAAGGCAAGAACCCAAGATATTTCAGAGATGCTATTAAATAAAAACAGATGTCTTGTAATATGAATTGTGTTTTCACGTAGTCTGCGATTTCAATTGATTCTTTTGTATCTAATATTTTTAGAAATATAACAATTATCTATAGTGACAGATTGCCAGCTCATTCCTTTGTAAACAATGTAACTAACTAAACGGAGAAAGGACTGGCAGGATTCTGTTCCCTGTAGTCATTGTCAAAACTTCAATTAGTCATTTTCTTACAAA